CCTACTCCTCCTCCTCCTGCAAGCTTCAGGAGCCTAAAAGTGACACAAGTACAGGATTCCGATGACCCGCTCGGCTTAGTAACACGAGGTGCGAGCCCCATAGGCCCATATGGAGGGAGGGGGCTCCTGCCTGAGAGAATTCAGTCGCGATCACCCTTTGGAGGCCTCCCAGATGGGGTCCGAGAAGATGGTGTCGGAGGATCGCACCGCATCGTCACCGCATCGGCGATGCATCGGCGACGTCGGCGAAGCATCGACGCCAGAAACGCTGGCTCCACGCCGAGCCGCATCGTCGATGCGGAACGATCCTTCGCTGTTTTTTCCGGATCGGCGTTAGTCTGGGCAATCCGGGAGCAGGCGCTGTGAGCACCTAACCTTCGCGCTGTGGGCAACCCCGTACGTGCCCGCGCGCACCTGGGGCTCCTGCCCCTGAAGCTGCTAACGAGGCTGCATCGGTGCTGCTCTACACGTCGCTCGGACCCCACTTGGAAGGCCAAAGCTCTCAAAAATACGGCCAATAGTTGAGGGAATCGAAAGGTACCGATACCGCTGCTCTCTCGGGGTGCGTTCTGACCAGCATTTCGACGCCGATCCAGTGGTTGTGACGAAGGCCTCCCAAGATGTCCCACACGGGGGAAACGGGGGAAGGGTAGCGGTATGGACACCTTTTTTAGACAAGCGTGTTCCACTACTCGCCGAGTGACTACTCGCAAATGGCCTGGATCCGCCTTGGAGGATTCACGATACCTCGCACCGATGCAGCCATGTGTTTTTTCGAACGTTTGCGAGTAGGCACTCTTGATGGGCTTGCTTTCCACCACCACCACCATAAGCTGAAGGGGGAGAGGGTCCTCCTCCCCCTCCTCCTCCCCCTCCTCCTCCTCCTCCTCCTCCTCCCTCCTCCTCCTCCTCCTCCTCATCCTCCACCTCCTTTCCCCCCTCCAGCTTCTTGTGGTGGTGGCGCTGGAACACAAGCCCATCAACTTTGCGAGTCGCAGCGCCCGAGCGGCCGCTGCCGGGCGCGGCCGCCTGCAGCCGAGCGCCAGCCCGCCGGCCGCGGACAGCGCGCTGCCAGCGGCCAGCGGCGGGTAGGCGGCGGCCGCGGGCCGGCCTGCGGCGAGGGGCCGCGGAGGGCCGCGCGGAGCTCGAGGCGGCCAGGCCTCTCGGAGGCTCGAGACTGCTTTGCTCGCCATGCCAGGACGAAACAGGGGGGGGGATCGGCTCCTCCTCCTCCTCCTCCTCCTTCTCCTCCTCCTCCTCCTTCTCCTAGGTTCCTCCTAGGTTCCTCCTAGATTCCTCCTCCTCCTCCTCCTCCTCCTCCTCCTCCTCCTCCTGCTCGATTCCTCCTCCTACTCCTCTTCCTCCTCCTCCTCCTCCTCGATTCCTCCTCGATTCCTCCTCCTCCTCCTTCTCCTGCTCTGTTCGCCATGCTAAGACGAAACGAAGGGTTTGGCTTCTCCTCCGCCTCCTCCTCGATTTCTCCTCCTCCTCCGTCTCCTCGGAGAAATTTGGACTGGGCCACGTGAAAGTCTCGGAGAGCCGGCGGTTGTGCGAGATGTATCGGGCGCCGCGGCCTTCTCCGAGCGCTCCAGAACTCTCTGAGAGCGTTCCGGGACGCACCCGAACGGATGTATCCCTGTCATGGCTCCGCCCGGCATGCTTTGCCTCTGAGGGCGGATTTCGGGCCCTGGGTCCGTCGGAGCTCGGTCCGGAATGGAAAACTGACTGGGGTGGCACCAGCAAGGTTGACGAACGAACTTCGAAGCTCGAGGTTCGACCGACTTCGTGATTTGTGGAAGTTCCTGGGGAGCAATCCTGGCCCGAACGCACCCCAGGACGGTCCTGGAGGTCAACTTCTTGACCAACCGACCCAGCAGACCCAACTCCCCTCGCGCTGGGACGGATCACGACTGACTAATCGTCCTCTGGGGACCATTGCTAGGTCCCGGGACCGTAACACAAAACACCTCGGCATGAACAACAACTGATGGGCTTGTTTTCACCACTACCGCCACCACCATAGGCAGGAGGGGGAGTAGGTCCTCCTCCTCCTCCTCCTCCTCCTCCTCCTCCTCCTCCTCCTCTTCGTCCTCCTCCTCCTCGTCCTCCGCCTCCTTCTCCCCTCAAAGTTATGGTGGTGATGGTGGGGAACAAACCCATCAAGAACGGGTGAAGGGGTCGAGACCTCCGAGGGCGCACGATGTGGAAGCGTCACGGCGCGATGTCGTATGTCCGAATCCAGGAGGAGACGGGCAGCGGCAGGAAGCAGTCCAAGTCCAGGAGGAGACGGCCCGCCCTCTCCCTCCTTCCCTCCTTTGTCTTGTTTCGCGGGGACGTTCGGACCAAGCGGGCTTCACTGTTGCAGAAGTCCCGAGTGGCCGAGGCACGAACACAAAAAACGAGCAGGTCAAGGGCCGATGCCGCCGTCGTCCTCCGCTCAGTTGTCCCTTCCCTCGCCATCTTTCGGGCGTCCATTCCTCGTGCAATTGTCGGGTTCGTGCGTGTTCTTTCGCACCATGGCCTGACATGCTCCCCGACGGCTCGTGCGGACAAAACAATACAAACGCCCCAACGATGCAAAGTTTGTCCATCGTCCTCCGGTGGAGGGGCCGTGGAGCAGGGACGGAAGCAAAAACGGCGATTTATTATAATTTCTATGTACGTAGCATCCCGCAGTTGCGGAGAAAAGTGAGGGGGGAGCGAGGACGCCGGCAATCTACGAGGCACAGAAGAAGCCCGCCGCAGGCGCTTAACTTTTGCAGAATATGCAACGACCCCGCCGCAAGCGCTGATTTCTTTGTTAAAACACTGCGGGTGGGTCCCGGGTGGGCTGCGCGCCGTCGCGGATGGGTCGCGGGCGGGTCGCGCATGGGTCGCGGGTGGGTCGCGGGGTGGCTTGCGGGATGGGTCGCGGATGGGTCGCGGGGTGGGTCGCGGGGCGGGTCGCGGGGTGGGTTGCGGGGTGGGTCGCGGGATGGGTCACGGTCGGGTCACGGGGTGGGTCGCGGGGAAGGTCGCGGGTGGGTCGCGGGGTGGGTCACGGGGCGGGTCGCGGCGTGGGTCGCGGGGCGGGTGGCGGGGCGGGTCGCGGGCGGGTCGGGGGGGGGGCGACGACCAATCATTTTACCATCATGCGCCGTGCTTCCACATGTCACATGCATCTTTCTGGATACCACGGCCCATCATGGGGGGTGTTTCTGGCGTGCGGGGTCCGATATTCCCTCGCCCGGATCTCCCGCCCAAGAAAGCATTGCCACCGCCTCTTCCGAGGAACTTCGACATCCATAGCTCCGACGGCACATCGCCCTCGCCGTCGCCTTGCGCACGCCCCGCATCTCGGAGGTGGAGGAAGAGGACGAGGATGGGAGGGAAGATGAGGGAGAGAAGGAAGGAAAAGGAGGAGGAGGAGGAGGGGGATGGAGAAAGAGGGGGGGGAGGAAGGAGGAGTAGCTGTAGAAACAGTGCCTCCGAGAACGAGGTGATTCTTACTCCTCCTTCAAAATGTTGCGCCACCATCCTGCGGCCTCGGCGCGTGACCCTGAACGCTCACGCCCCCAAGCGCTGCCGCTCCCATGCTCGCATCCCCCACCTGCCCCTCCACACCCTCTCAAGGAATCCCTGAACACAGCCCTTCGACCCTCGATCTTTGGAGTCCCGTGGAGTCAGCCGTCCTTGTTGCTTTCCTCCTCCTCCTCCACCTTAGCAATGCTCTCCATAACGATAGTTATTTAATACTTAAGATTCAACAGGGACTCTTGGGAGCCCCCCAGAGGCGATTCCGAAACGAGGGCCCCAGTCGTTAGTAAAAGGACGAAGGAGGACGGAAGGGGAAGGGAGGAGGGAGGAAGGAAACGGTAGTACGGAGGAGACATGGGGGACGAAAAGGGAAAGCGGGAGGGAAGAGGAGAGAGGAGGATAGGGAAACGAACTCTACACACCGACGCTTTTTTCCGACCCTGCGCTGGCATTCGCACAGGAACGCGAATTCTGGTGTATACGGGATCCTGGTATCTACATTTTTCGTTGTTTCCCTGGGCCGTCGGGAACAAATATACACCACACCACCCCAGCGTCGTCCCCGACCATGAAAAAATAGTGGTATTGATTACACAACTCGCCACTGGTAATGTCTATGTTCCAATGTCCGAGAAGAGGGAGGACAGAGGAACGGGAGAGGGAGGCGGGAGGAGGGATAATGAGGAGGAGGAGGAGGAGGAAGTGGATGAGGAAGAGGAGGAGGACAAGGAGGAGGAAGTGGAGGAGGAGAAGGAGGAGGACGGAGGACGAGGACGAGGACGACGAGGAGGAGGAGGAGGACAGGGAAGAAAAGGGGGGCGGGAGGAGGAGGGAGGAAAGAGGGACGGAGGAGGGAGGAGGGAGAAGAGGAGGGACTGGAGAAAGGGAGAGGGAGGAAGAGGAGGGATGGGGGAGGAGGGAGGATGATGAGGAGGAGGAGGCGAAGAAGGAGGAAGAGGAGAAGGAGGAGGAGGAGGAAGACGAGGACGAGGAAGGAGGAGGAAAGGGCGCCATTCCAGCGAAAAAGGGGAGAAAGTCTCGGGCGGGAGCGCTGGTCTTGTCGGGACGGGAGCTGTCGGCGGCGAGCAAGAGCACCGCCTTGAGTAAAAAGGGGGGCGTCTCGAGCGGGAGCGTTGTTGTTGCTGGGGGGCGGCGCCGATGAGAGGATGAGTAACGCCCCTGCCCAAAATAAAAGGGAGGGAAGTCTCGAGCGGAAGCGCTGGTTTTGTTGAGACGGCTGCTGTCGGCGGCGAGCAAGAGCACCGGCCCTGAGTAAAAAACGAGGAAATCTCGAACGGGAGCGTTGTCCCGGCCTGGGGGCCCCACCGGGGCCACCGCACTCGGCCCCCCCCCCCGCGAAGCCGCCCCCGTGCGCCAGGGGCACGCGCGCACCGCGAGCGGCGGGGACGGCGATGGGGAGCGCGCCCAGGGTGCGCGTGCGTGCTGGCGCAAACAGGCAGTTTTTGTTTGCTTCTTTTTTGTATCTTTCTCCCGTGAGCACGAGCCGCAGCTAGGTGGCCGGCCCCCACTGTGCAGTCTGACGCCGCTTAGGCTTGCGCGCCTGCATCGGCCGCGCGGCATGGACAGCCCCGCATCGTGCTCCACAACGGCGGAGCAACAAAAACTCGGCGAACGAGCGGGGGCGAGACTAGTCCAGGCTGAAGAGAAACGTGGAGAGCTCAGACGAGAAATAATGCCTCGATCGTTCCACGACCGCACGCCCTGACGCGCGCATCGACCTCGTTGTGCAGAGCCCCCCGTGTCAGGCAAAATGCCGCTTCTGGTGACGGGTTGCAACCGGAGCAAAAATAAACACACACACACACAAACTGAGCCGATCAAGAAAGGCGTGAGAGAATTGACAAAACGAAAATATACAGTCCAAGCCTTAGAGCCCCATAACGGGTCGTGAACTGCCGCGTGCCTACGTGATGCGGTGGGGGCATCTTCAATGCACCCAGAGTGCAAAGTACGGAACATGATTGGGCAAAACGAAATGGGGAACAAGAGTGGGCGGCCGCGCCGACGGGGCGCGACCTGCGGGCTACGCGCGCGACCCGCGCAGACGGGACGGCGCCAGCGATCTGGCGAGGAGGCCGCTCACGGAGGCCGAGCGCCGCACCCCGCAACCATGATGAGGAGAGCAAGGGAGGAGCGGGAGGGAGGAGGACGGAGGGAGGGAGGGGGTGAGGCTGCACGCTCTTCCCGAGCGCTCAGGGCCTCCACAGCCACGGATGAATCTGCCGGCTGCGATCGACAGCGCGGCACCTCGAGTCCGAGGGGAAGGGCGAGGCGGAAGGAGGAGGAGGAGGACGGGGGGGCGTAGGGGGGAGGCTGTGCGCTCTTTCCGAGCGCGCAAGGCCTCCACGGCCACGGATGAACCTGCCGGCTACGATCGACAATTCGGCACCTCGAATCCGGGGGGGGGGGGGGGGGGAGAGGAGGAGGAGGAGGAGGAGGAGGAGGAAGGAGAGGAGGAGGAGGAGGAGGAGGAGGAGGAGGAGGATGGGGGGAGGGAGGGGGGGGCGGAACGTTTTTGCCGAGCGTTCAGGGCCTCCACGGCCAAGGATGAATCTGCCGGCTGCGATTGACAGCTCGGCTCTCCGAATCCGAGGGGGGAGGACGAGAGCAGGAGGAGGCGAGGGAGAGAGAGACTGATGCGAAACACCGCAGCAACGTATCATCTCACCCCGCGCGCTGAGCGACGGAGGAAATAAATCGCACCCCAGGCCAAGGAACGCAGCACACTGGCGAAACTACATAGCTGTGACAGCTATGAGAGCACAAGCCCCAAACCCGAACCATTGATACGTAGCATAGCGAAGCGGGCGCGACGTCGAACCCCCGAGGCGCGAGAACGGGTCCAACAGCAAGCAGCAACGACGGGGGAGACACAGGAGGGAGCGGGCGCCGCCCCGAGTCGTGGCCATGGTGCCGAATCCCCAAGCATCCGCGAGCGGGTACCCAGGGTCTCGCCCACCGACCAGCCCGCAGCAAGGCACAGCCCCCGATGGGGGGAGAACGCCGCGGATGACTCCCATAATCGTGGGACATGTCAGCGGCTGCCGCGGAAAGAGCGGGGAGGGCGGGAGGGGCGGAGAGACGAGCGACAACGACGACGACGACGACGGAAGACGACAGCAGGAGGGACCTCGGCCTCGCGAAAAGAATGATAATTCACTACAGGGAGCGAGTCGACCCCGATATTCGCACCAAAGCTGCACTTCACGGAGGAGGAGGAGGAGGAGGAGAAGAAGAGGAGGAAAAGGACGGACCAAATAACGAGAAACAGAACTGGCGCTGGCACTAAAGAACCTGGCGGATGGTCACTCTCAGCGCGTTCAAGCAGGCAGCGGGGCTGCCGTGCCTGCACCGACAGTGGGTCGGGCAGACGCTGGCCGTCAGAAGCGCGCAGCGCCGCAGTTCGGGAGCCGTCTGCTCGCTGCGAGGAGGCGCCAGGATCAAGAACCCGGCGAGCCGCGCCTCCCGCGAGGCCAGCTGGGGCAGCCCCAGCAGATCGGCCGCCGCCGCCGCGACGCAGGGGCAATCGGCGCAGTGCTCCACGGAGCCCTCGCCGTCTGCGCACCCGAAGCAGGTGCCCGCGCGCTGCTGAAACCGCCGGGCGGTGACCCAGCCGTTCCAAAGCGTCCGCAGGCACGCGGCCAACGCCCGCGGGGCAACTCGCCTTGCCGCGGCGGGATACGCGCGCAACGTGCGGTTGGACATCTATTCGACTGACAGGTCGCAAGACCAGCGCGACAGCCGATGCTGCAAAAAGCGTGCCAGGGACGCGCCCCTGTCGGGTTCGATCGTGCGCACGCACGTGCTCTGCCAAGCTTTCCTCAGGCGCACAGGGGTCGGCCGTCCCCGCTGCCAGTGCCACCTGGCGCGGGCCCAGCGCGCGCTGATGGAAGTAGCTCTGCGCCGCATCAAGCTGCAAGAGGAAAGAGCTGCTGAACCAATTACTCTAGCGCCCCAGGCGCGCAAGCGGTACCGTGCTGTGCAGCCGCGTCGCACGCAACTCCGCTGCTCTGGCGGCCACGCGCAAGCCGCCCTCCGCCGCCGCCTCAAATTGACACACTCGGTACTTCGCCGCCAGCGCCGTCGCGGGCAGGTCTGGAAGGCGCGCGGGAAAGCCCAGGAGAGGGAGGCCGTGCAGGGCGGCCGCGGGTGCCCACCGGCTGGGCCCGACGTAAAGGGATTGCAGCGCAGCGCTCTCCAGCTGCCCCCAGTTCGACGGCGGCGCGTCCAGCTGCGCGAGGAAGCTCATAGTCACTGTCGAGAAAGCATACGTAAACGTATTGGCGAACATGCCGCCCGAGGTACTTGGCCTTGTGGGCAACCCGCAGGCCGCCGCAAGACGGCACGCGGGAGGCCACCTCCAGGCGCGCGCCTTCAGGGTCTCCAAGCCGAAGCGGGAGCCACAATGTTTTGTCGAGGTTCAAGCGGAGTCCAGACAAGGCGGCGCGCTCGTCAAACAAGGGCTCCAGCGTAGCCGCCGCCTTCGCCCCTTCCCTGGTCACCACCGCCAGATCGTCTGCATACGCTCGGCGGACGGCGCCAGGGAGAGCCAGACCGAGACGCCGAAGCAGCAGATCCGCAGCGATCGCAAAGAGCAGCGGGGAGATGGGGCAGCCCTGGCGAATCCCGGCTGTCACTGGGAATCCCTCGTGCTCGCCGCCCCCTATGACAAGCCTGCTGCGATTGTGCAAGTAGAGCGATTGGAGTAGAGCGTGCTGGCGCAGGCAGGCCTGCGCCGGATCGAATCGCTGGGTCGGATCGGCTCGGAAGCCGGTCGCATCGCCGGCGAATCGTCCCGAATCGGATCGATATCGGATCGCTGCGCCTGGCTCTGACTGGCCCTGGGTCGGTGAATCGAGCCGAATCGAATTGAATCGCGGCGCTGGCTGGCGAATCGGGTCGCATCGAGGCGGATCGTAGGCGGCCCTGGCAGGTGTGGGAGCGTCGACCTGAAGACCGGCGATGCGCCGCAGAGGAGGTCAGCGAGGACCCTTCCTCCCTGCAAGCCTCCAGGAACTCCTGAATCTCGGGACGTTCCACACGGGCTGCAGACACGAGGAGGCTGCAAGCGACGTGGCGATTGTCGTCGCCAGAGGAGGAGGAGGAGGAGGAGGAGGAGGAGGAGGAGGAGGAGGAGAAGGAGGAGGAGATGAAGGAGGAGGAGGAGGAGGAGGAGGAGGAGGAGGAGAGGAGGAGGAGGAGGAGGAGGGAGGAAGAGGAGGAGGAGGAGGAGGAGGAGGAGGAGGAGGCGGAGGACGGGTCGCCTAAGCCCTTCGGAGCAACCCTCCAGACACGAGGGATGGTGCAAGCGATGTGGTGGCTGTCGACGCCGGAGCCTCGGCTACAGACACGCAAGAGCGGGGCGACCATGGGCTACCTTCGCTGCGCGGCTTTTTTCTATCGGACCGCGCGGCGCATGGCGCAGAGGCCCTTGGTCAAACACAAAGGCCGAACGAATTGCCGGAAACTTGCTTCAAAATGTTTAAAACGACCCGTGACAAGCTCCAAACATTGCAGCAACAAGAAACATGCAATAGACGATTCGGCTGGCATTCAGCAATTCGCTGCGCGGCGGTTTTTGGGGGGCCGCGGGGGGGGGCCAAGCCCAAGCGCGCCAGAGGCTGCTGCCGCACCGCCTCCGGCGACCGCGGGTCCTGGCCCTCGGGAGTTGCTAGAAGTGCCCTCCGGGGCCCGAGGCGCCCCCAGGACTTCCAGGGAGGCCCCCCTGCGGCCTCCAGTGGGCGCCACTAAATGAGCTTAAAAATTTGGGCAACAATTTGTGTTCATCTATCTGAGCAATTGTTTCAGCATTCCTGATCTATTTCTTAATTACCGCGCGCACTGAATCACAGACAACACATATTGAATCACAAACGGCGCGCGCTGAATCACAGACCGCGCGCGACGAATCAAACCGACCTCGAATCCCAGACCGCACGCGCCAAATCACAAAGATCACGCATCGAATGGCCCCGTGGGCCCACAGGATGGAGCAAGAAGCTGGGGGCGCCTTGGTGGGCCTGGGGCGCTTGCGGCAGCACTCGACCAGTGTTGAGGGAAGAAACAACGACCCTACCCTGGGGTACGAGTGCGTGGTCTGTAAACCTCCTGGAACCCCCCAAAGCCTAGAGCCACCAGGACGCGGCACATCACGCAGGGTCCACCCTGTCAGCCCACAGGAGCTCCAGCGCACAGCGCCTTGGAAACCAGGGTAGGGGCGCTTTTTATGCCCTTGACAGTGGTGCCGCACCGAAGGGGACCGCGGCGAGGGGTCGTCACTCTGACGTGCAGTGGGCTCCTCTCCCGAAGACGAAGCGCGCCGCACGCTTGCCGGGCACGGGGCTGTGGCGCCCGAGCCCCCCCTGCCTGCGATGTGGGTGGGCGACTGGGGCAGAGTCGGGCGTGTCTCTCTGCAGGAAGGACATTCCACTAGTGAAGGGGCCCTGGGACACACAAATGAATACACACAAATAAACATATTCCCCACAGTTTCCGATGTTTTCTGGGCTGTTTGTCTTCCCCCCCACTTCCCATATCTTCCCATACGTATTGGGGAATCGACGGTTAGTTGTGTCTGTGTGTTTTCCCCCCCTCCTGAACTATTTGCTAAGCTTGTTTTGATTTGTGTTTTTGTTGTCGTCCAAGGTCGGCGCGCAGGAGGACATGCCCGACCTGAGACTAGGGGGGCCGTGGCTTCCCACGGGGGCACTCCCTCGCGCCTGCCTCCCAGATCTTCCCGCAACGCCGCCAGCACCGCCGTGTGGAGGCGGGCTTGGGGTTAGGTCGGGCATGTCTTCCGACAGGCGGATTCTTGACGAAACATAAGAAAAAACAACACAACAACATAACAAACAAAAACATACTGACAAAAAACATCGTCCCCATATTATTGTTAGACTATGTTTGAGTATTCCTCCTGTAGAGGGACATGCCCGACTTAGGGTTGGGGGTGCCAACACCGCCGTGGACTGCCCGTGGGGTCTGCGGAGGCCAGCAGTGAGCGCCTCTGGGGGCTGCGTGAACGCCAGCTTCCTCCTTCTCCCGCTCCGCCTCCTCCCGCCCAGGTGCTGCCGAGAGGAGGGAATGGTGGAAGGAGAGTAGACGAGCGCGTTCCACTACTCGCAAAGTAACTACTCGCAAGTGGCCTGGATCCGCGGCGGGGGATCTACGATAAATTACATCGAAAACGGACATGCGTTGTTCGGACGTTTGCGAGTAGGCACTTTGCGAATATTGGAACGCGCTCGGCGAGAGAGAATCTGGAGAGGAGTAGCGGAACGGAGGGAGAGCAGAGGAGGACGAGGCCGGGAGAGGATTTCCTGTTGGGAGGCGCGCGCAGACGTCTGATCATCCTCGACTCCCTGCAGAGACGGGCCGCGAGAGGGGCGAAGGGAAACTCTCTCGCCGCCGCCCTCGACAACCCTCAGAACCTCGCCTCGCTTACCGTCGCACTCACCTGTGATGAGGATGCTCGTCACCGACTGGGAGTGCTGCATCGTTGCGCGCGCGACGTCCTCTGCCAAGGCCAACGACTCTGGACTGTCAACCTTGTTCAGCGCTGCATACAGCCGAGGTGATGGGGATCTCCCCGTATCCACCCCGTAGCACCACAAATCATAGCTGCCCATGACGCGCCCGACGATGTCGGCGTCAACGGTGCACCCCAGGTCCACGCCGGCGAACTTCGCCACGACGTCGGCGCGGCAGACCATCTCCTCCACCAGCGGAGCGCCCAAAATATCCACCCCCGCCACCGCAACCACGGCCTCGACCCCGGCCGGCAACACTGGCTCTCGCGGCGCGCGCGGGGCCTTGAACGGCAACTTCCGCGACCCGTCCGCCTCCACTACCACGACGTCCGCCAACCCGCTGCCGGAGGCCGCCCAGACGGGGCCAAACCAAATCTCGCCATCGCTCGGACGTCCATTCCCCGTGCGTTCGCCGGCTTCGTGCGCATTTTTTCCGCAGGATGACCTCGGATGCTGCTCCGTGGCCCTCGCCGAGAAAAAAATAAAATGCACACGTCCGAACGGTGCCAAGCGATGGGCTGGGGTCCGAACCGTCAGAACTGGGTGCAGGCATGGTTGAAGGGGCCCTGAGACACACAAATGAATACACACAAATGAAAATATTCCCCATATTTTCACATACTTTCTGGGTTGTTGTCTTCCCCCCTACTTCCCATATTTTCCCATAGTCTCTGGGAATCGCCGATTAATTGTGTCTGTGTGTTTTTTCCCCTTCTGAATGGCGGCGCTACACCGGACTCACTTCTATAGCGCTCACTTCTATAGTGCTCACTTTGAAATTGTGGTCCGGAAGGGGCCGCACATGCAGGCACATGCCGCACAGTCGCATGCACATGCCCATGCAAATATACGAAAGCATCAACAGCAATGCCGCACATGCGCGCACATGCCACACCGTCCGACGCACAGTCGAATGCACGGTCAAGCAAAACTCTGAAAGCATAGACGCACATGCCCGCACATGCCGCAGAGATGTCGCAGGCGATAGTGGCCTGACCACCTGAGCTCGGGGCATTTCGCAACCCAGAGTTCCGAGGATGTCTCAGGCAAGCGTGGCCGGATCACCATGGGGCAGGGCATCTTGGAAACCAGAGTGGCGAGGATGTCGCTGGTCAAGGTGACCAGACGACCATGGGGCAGGACACCTCCGAGGTCTGAGTTGTGAGGATGTCTCAAGCGAAAGTGGCCTGACCACCATGGGGCAGGAGATCTCTGAGGTCAGAGTTGCGAGGATGTCTCTGGGGAGAGTGGTCTGACCACCTCAGCCCAGGGCATCTCGGAGCCCAGAGTTGCGAGGATGTCTCAGGCAGGACTGGCCTGACCACCTGCTCAGGGCATCTCAGAACCCAGAGTTGCGAGGGTCTCAGGCGAAAAAGGCCGAGACACTATGGAGCAGGGCATCATTGAGGTCAGAGTTGCGAGGATGTCTCAGGCAAAAGTGGCCTGAACAGCTCAACTCAGGGCATCTCGGGCGAGGATGTCTAAAGCGAAAGTGGTCTAACCACCTCAACTCAGGGCGTCTCGGAACCCAGAGTTCCGAGGATGTCTCAGGCGAAAGGGGCCGAGACACTATCGAGCAGGGCATCATTGAGATCAGGGTTGCGAGGATGTCTCAGGCGACAGTGGCTGACCACCTCAGCTCGGGGCATATCGGAATCGAGACTTGCGAGGATGTCTCAGGCGACCGTGGCCTGACCAGCATGGGGCAGGAGATCTCTGAGGTCAGAGTTGCGAGGATGTCTCATGCGAAAGTGGTCTAACCACCTCAGCTCAGGGCGTCTCGAAACCCAGAGTCCCGAGGATGTCTCAAGCGAAAGTGGCCGGGCCACCATGGGGCAGGGCATCTCCGAGACCAGAGTTGCGAGGATGTCTCAGGCGAAGGTGGCCAGATCACTTCATGTCAAAGCACGTCGGCCTCCAAATTGCCGACGACGTCTCACGCGGAACTGGCCGGACGCGAACGCGCCGGCGTCCGGAGACGAACGCCGGCCCCGGCATTCTTGCACGTCCCGCACATGCACTGCACAGGTACGCACAGTATTCGCACAGGCCGAGCTCGCCGGTGGCCGAGCCAGGCCAGCGATTCCGAGATTCCCTGAGCTCGGGCCGTCAAGCCACTTTCGCCTGAGACAGCCTCGCAACTCTCACCTCCTCCTCCTCCTCCTCCTCCTCCTCCTCCTCCTCCTTCTCCTCTGGCCGAGCCGAACAGGCAGGCTGGCCAGTGGCCGGGGGCGCCCGCCTCCTCCGCCCCCCCCTCCTCCCCCCCCCTCCACCTCCCCCCCCCCATCCCTGCTTCTCCGGCCGAGCTGAGAAGGCGCGCGGGAGAGTATTTTATTAGGCGGGCGCGCCACCGCCAGCTCACGAACCGGGCGAATAACCGCCCCCGCCAGCAGCGGGCGAGTCTAAACGCACAACAAACTCTTTCAGGAAGCCCTGGCACGCCCCAGGTTAGCTCTGCGAAGGCCAGGAGGCATTGGAGGCACAGGGGTCCCAGACAGCTCCTAGGGCATGAGCGTGCATGTGCATTGGGATGTGCACGCATGTGCGCCCGCGCGCTTCACCGCATGTGCGTGCATGTGCGGGCCCGCGCGGCCTCCCGAAGAGAGGTTGCACAGGCATGTGCGTGCATGTGCCGATGACAAATCTGCGATTCTCGAACACCTCCCGCATGTGCAGGCATGTGCGCGCATGTGCGTCGGACTGTGCGTGCATGTGCGTATGATGGATACATCAAAACACAGCGCACATGCCCCCGCACATGCCCGGGCACGACGTGCACAGTAGGAAGTCCATCCAAGAAGGACCGCACAGGCCTGGCACATGACTGGCACACGCCGCGCACATGCGCGCACATGACAGCGCAAAAACGGCCGCACATACACCCACCCAGGGGTATAGATGTGAGTGCGGTGTACGATCAAGGAGCACAGCATCGCATCGGGAACGCAGAGGCCTTTTCTGGCCACGGCGGGCCCCGAATAGTGCTCCCGACCTAGATCTAAGTCGGGCCTGTCCCCCTACAGGGGGGATTTTCGACCTGGATCGAAGTCGGGCCATGAGCCTAGATCTAAGAAACGGTCCGAAAACAACCAGAGCCCCGCATGAGCCCAAAGCGGTCCTTCACTCCGCGCCTTGACTGTGTCCCCGTACCCAGGCGCCACCGGCCCACCCCTCGAGATGGGGACGGGTGCTGCGAAGAAGCCCGCACGAGACGGCATCTATCCCGACCTAGAGGAGTAGGTCCGATAGTGGGGCCAAGGCTCTCCCAGCGAGGATGGGGATAGGTCTAACGATGCTGATCGGAGACTCACCGCACCACATCGCCGATGCATCGCCAATGCAGCGGCCACGTCGGGACAGAGAACGAGAACATCAGGCCCACGATCGCGCCGCAACGGGGGTGCGGCACGAACCGCCGACCCCATCCGCAGACATCTGGCGCTTCGGTGTTTCCGATGCGTGGCCACCCTGACCTCTTGACCCCTCTCCCAGAGCCGACTTTTCGGCCCGAGCCGCTTTGTTCGGGAGCGACCAAAAGGGGGGTGTCCAAGAGGGGGGGGGTGCAAATCATGACCGGCGGCATGTGCGCGGCGCAGCGGGGGGGCCAGGGACCCGGCCGGCCTCCCCGGGCCTCCCCGGCGCGGGCCAGGGGGGGTCATCCGTTCCAGAAAGTCTGCTGGGGGCCCAAAACGAGCCAAGAGGCTCCCAAGAAGCTCTGAAGACGGTCCAAGAGGGCCCCGAGTCGCCGAAAAATCGTTCGAAGACGGTGAAGATTGCCTTCAGACGGCCCAAGATGCCGCCAAGACGCCCGAAGAGGCTTCCAAGAGGCCTCCCAAGAGGGCCCCAAGAGGCCAAAATCATTACTTTTCATTGGTTTTTTCGAAGTTGTTGGCCTTCTCGCTTTTCTCGGCTTCCGACGCTCCAGGACGGCGCAAGAGTCCCCCAAGAACGCCCCAGGACGACCCAAGAGGCCCCCAAGTGAGCCCCAAGACGGCCCAAGAGGGCCTCAAGACGGCCCAAGAGGGCCTCAAGACAGCTCAAGAGGGCCCCAAGAGGCCACCAAGAAAGGCTCCAGACGGGGACCACGAACCTAAAATTCTAGCTTTCCGCCCCAAAAGGCACCCAGGAGGCCCCAAGGGGCCCCAAGAGGCGCCCAAGAGGCCCCCTAGAAGTCCCAAAGAGGCCCCAAGAGGCCCCAAAACAGCTCCCCAGAAGCATCCAAACTCCCTCCCGCAGGCCCCCGAGAGGATTCGCACGACGGCGCCAGTCCGTCGCCGCCCTTGTCTTCCGCGTCGTATTCTCCTGCTCTTTATCATCCTCTTTTTCGCCCCCTCTTCCCTCTTTCCCCTTCAGCTCTCGAAGAAAGTCCCAAAAACGCCACCGAAAGAGTCTACGAGACGACCTAAGAGAGTCCGAATACAGCCCGCCCGCCCCCGAAAAGGCCCCCAAGGGGTCGGCGGTGTGGCGTAAGCCTAAGAATCATGACCGGCGGCATGTGCGCGGCCCGCGGGGGGGCCAGGGACGTAATGAAATAAGAAGAGGCGCCACGGAATCTGGGGAAATATCATGGCCCCCGCCATGATATCCACCCCCCCCTAGTCATCACCCCGCTCTTTTCCGCTTTCGATTTGTGAACCCCGAGCCCCGAAGCTGGTCCCGAACAGGCCACGCGCCTGCCCACACCACCGGCCGCCTCGATCGCTCCGAGGCGCGCCGGACGGCTGGGACTGCTCCGGCGCCGACCCTGGGCGGCCTCGTGGAGCTGCCCAGCAGCGCCGGCACCCAGCCGGGGGGGATCCCGACCGCCCGGGGCCCGTGAGGCGACGCCTCGCAGCCGCTGGCCAGCGCCACCAGCCGGCGCCCCGCAGCGACGGCGGCCCGCAGGGCCTCCTGCGCGGCGCCCAGCTCGGCCGCGACCAGTACCTCCTCCGCGTCCTCGGGCGCGCGCGGGAACAGCACGCGGGTGGTGGTCGCGAGCACGACGGCCTTGCCCTGGGCGGCGGCCTCCTCCGCAGTCCGCGCGGCGAGCGTGGTCTTGCCGCCGCCGCCCACGAACGCGACGACGGAGGCCGAGCCGAGGGCTGCCCAGAGGCCCGACGCCGGGGGGGCACGGGCCTCCGCCGTGGATTCGGCCACGCGCAAGGAGTGTTAGCGGCGAGCGAGGGGGGGAAGTGAGAAGGCGAAGGCCTTCTCAGAAGCCTCGGAAGTCCCGGGGCCTTCCGAGAAGTCTTCGAAGCCCCCCCCCTTCCCGAAGACAAACAAAAAACAGAAGGCGCGAGGGCTTCTGAGCAGTCCCGCCGCCTCCTCAGAAGACTCTCTTCTTCTCGTTCACCCCCCTCGCTCGCCGCCGAGTGGGTTCTAGGGGGCCACATGCGAACTCTGCCCCTACCCCCCCCCCCCCACGATTTCTGAGGGGGGAGACTGGGGCTCACTTCGTTCGCCCTCCCCCTCAGAAGTCTCGGGGGTAGGGGTAGGGGTCGCATGTGGCCCCCTAGATTCGGCCACGCGCAAGGTGTTGAACAGGGAGCGACGGTCCCCGCATTTCTATAGGCCTACCACGACATGTTTGTTAGAACACCCGAATGTTCCAAGGAAATAAATGTCCTCAGAACAGAAAACCCGATGCGCTAAAACAAGACCGTCCCGGCCAGAAATGCTCTGAGAGCATTTCGTGGAAGCCACAAAGGGGTTCTCAGCACACTGCTTGGTAGGCCTATATGGGCACGCCAGGACGCTTCGCCACTGCTTGAAGGAGTGGCCTCGGGGCGAGGAGGGGCCCCTCGCACGCGGCCTGGCCGATCGCTGCGTGCATCTGCGGGGCAGCGGCGGCCGGATGAGCAGGAGGAGCAGGAGGAGCAGGAGGAGGAGGAGGGAGGGGGAGGAGGAGGGAGGGGGAGGAGGAGGAGGAGGAGGAGGAGGAGGAGGAGGAGGAGGAGGAGGAGGAGAGGAGGAGGAGGAGGAGCTGGAGAAGGAGGAGGAGAGAGGAGGAGGAGGAGGCGAGGAGGAGGAGGAGGAGGAGGAGCTGGAGGAGGTGGAGGAGGAGAGGAGGAGTCGTGCGCCCGGCGGGCGGGGGCCTCCGCTGCGCGGCCACCCCGAGGCCACGCACCAGAGGCCACTACACGGCGGACGACCGCTCGGCCCCGAGGCAGGACTGCACGGCTTCCCCCGGGGCCCTGTAGGCGACCCGAGGGGGAGGAGAAGGAGAAGGAGGAGGAGGAGGAGGAGGAGGAGGAGGAGGAGGA